AAGCGGAGCTGTGATCGCATAGGCAGTCCTTGAGGGCTTGGCAATTTCCGCAGAAGCGGAAGGCAGTCCGCAAAAGCGGACATCACAGGAGCGGGTGGTGACCGCAGAAGCGGTCCTGAGGATTTTAAGTTAGACCGCAGAAGTGGTTATTTTGCGCAGAAGCGGGAGCCGCAGGTGCGGTATCCCAACCGCAGAAGCGAAACCTGGCTGAGTTTAAGTGAACAGTGTTTTCACGATTTTGAAAGAGAAGAAACATTTTGGACTTCGGACTAAGGAGATTTTGGGCGATTTTTGAAGAGGGTTTCGAGGGCTATCATCAGGTATGGATTCTTAGACTTAGATTATGATATTATGGTGTAAAATCATGGACTAACACTGAAAATCCAAGGAATTAAAGGTTAAAAATGGAAGTTAGGGTTTGAGAAAATTATGATGTAAAAATGGAACTTGGAGGGTCAAACGAACTCCCATTTTGGTAAATTTTATATGTATGGACTCGTGGCGAGACGAGGAATCGGGTGATGTGAATTTCGTAATTTTTCGAGAAGCGGGCCCGGGGCTCAGGTTTTGCTAGTTTCGAGATTCTTGCTAATTTTCTATTGTTTTCGATTGGGTATTGTTCCCTTAGCATATTGTGATGTATTCGCTCTGGTTTTGGTTAGATTCGACACGCGTGGAGGCCAATCGAGGGGCGAAGGCATCGCGAGCTAGGGATTTCACCGGTCCGAGGTGAGTAATACTTGTAAATGATATCCTGAGGGTTTGAACCCCGGATTTGCATATCATAGTGCTGTATTGTGGTGACTTGCATGCCAGGTATGAGCGTGGGGTAAAGCACCGTTGGGGATTGTGACTTAGTCCGTCCCGGTTGTTGGTTTTATTGCGTAGTTGACTGAAACTACTTGTTATCATCATTATTTGGGTTGATTGCTATATTGGGGCTTCGTGCCAATTGTTTGAATCCTTCAGGGATCGATATCACTGTTTTTCCATTACTTTGCATATTATTTTATCACAGTCCAAGGTTTAAAATACTGTTTCGCAAACTTAGCTACCTTTCTAAGATTTGAAAACCTAAATGATATTTTACTGACGTTTTGAATTGAGACTGTTATTTTACTATTGCCCAAGGGGCTTATGTGCATTTTTGGACTGAGGATGGATCGGGCTGCGCGCCGCAGCGGTGTGATATTGACATTGCGCTTGGGCTGTAGGAGCCCCTCCGGAGTCTGAACCCCCATAGTGAGCGCGGGTACCCAAATGGATCGGGCTGCGCGCCACAGCGGTTATATGCATTGCATTGCATTCATGCATTGGTTCCTGTTTGTAATACGTGTAATGACATTCAGCACTCTCATTTCATTGGCATTCATGCTACATCTTGCACTGTTTACCAGACGCCCTGGTGTTAATTGTTAGTGGAGTGATGTGCCCGAGGGGCTTACTTATGTGCGGACTTGCACTATCTGATTACGCATTCATTTGCTTGACTTTTGGAAAAGGATATTTTCAGAATAGGTTTTTAAACTGAGCCAGATATTTTCTAAAGGTTTTTTCACGGTTTTACTGTTTTCTCAAAGGGTTGTACTGTCCTATATAGCATGATGGAGTGCTCTTACGTGATTTCTTGTCTCTTAGTTATTATTTACTCTTATTACCACTGAGTTGGAAGTACTCACTTTACTCCCTGCACCTCGCGTGCAGTTGCAGGTATTGCTTACCGGGTAGCGGGTGATTAGCGGATCGAAGGTAATACTGATGTAGCCGAGCAAGGTGACCGCCAGCGTTCGCGGCACCGGACTTCATCTTTTGGATTCCAGATTTCATTTTATGTATATATGACCCTGTAGTTGTGTTCCTACTTCTTAGATGCTCGTGACTTGTGACACCCCGGTCGGGTTGTGTTGGGTTATAAATACTGGTTATTATTGTCGTTAAGCTGTATTTATCTATTCATTTATGTTTAATAATTGTTAAAGTGAAAGGATTTGGGTTAGTTGGCTGGCCTTGTCTTCACGAGAGGCGCCATCACGACCGGGATGGGAATTGAGTCGTGACAAGTTGGTATCAGAGCCTAGGTTACTAGGTCTCACAAGTCATGAGTAGGTTTAGTAGAGTCTCGCGGATCGGTACGGAGACGTCTGTATTTATCCTCGAGAGGCTGCAGAACCTTTAGGAAAACTTCACTTTCTTGGAATTCTTATCGTGCGTACTTGATTCAGCTTGAGATATAACTCTTGAAATTCCTTCCACACGTCTGTATGCGCACGCGAGCGCTCAGTTCTGTATGTGCCTTGATGGCTAGTGATTCCCCGATCAAGGGGCGAGATGTAATTTCCGTGAGTTTGATGCTGGGCCAGTCTGGAGGACTTGAGGCCGGATCTTTGCCTATGGCTTAAGCACTGAGGTGCTGATTGTGTGAGCAAGTGTTTTGAACTTATATGTTCAGTATTGTCCTTATTAGCCGGAATGGCGGTTGGATATCCATGTGATGAGTATGTTAGTACTGCGAGATGTATCCATGTGATCTTGGTAGTGACGAAGGAGTCTGCTGAATAATAGATGAGCTGTTAA